AACAAATTAGCTTAAAAAAGTGAAGACACAAATCTGTCTTCTTTCACTCGGAGTCGAGTTACCGAATCGTGGAGGACGATCGTCTCGACTCAATTTCTGAAAATTACTGCACCATCCCACATGTTGCCCCCAACCCCCGAGAGAGAAAAAAGGAAAAGAAAGAAGGGGGAAAAAACTTATCAGCAGCTACTCCTCCTTCATTTTATTTCATTTATGAATTACAAGGGAAGATGCCATTATATATTATTAATTCTCTGCTGTTGCTTTGGCTCTGGCTGCTGCAGCGGTGAGCTGCGGATGTCGGCAGCGGTGTAATTACGTTCTAGCCGGGCAGCCATCCGTTTCCTTTCAAAAATTTACAGGATTCTTAATCACGTTGCTCATTTGGGTGCACGGTGGCGGGGATGGCGAAACACAAACAGGGGCACGTCTGTTTGCACGAGAACACCTGCTTAGCATTGATAGCAGATGTCAGTCAGTGAACTGAACAAAAAATTAGAAAAAAAAGTGCAGCGAGGGGAGGGGGTGGAATTAAAAATGCAAGCATCACCAACTTCTTATTATTTACTTACTCCGAAAATGAACTAGCAGAATGAGAGAAGGAAAATCCTGGCAAATGCCAGGGAAGCTGGGCCTTCCTCCCTTTGCTTCGTCCTCCTTCTCTTCCTCTATCCTCCTTCCTCCTCTCTCCTCCTTCCTGAACATTTCTTTTTCCCTGGTTTTAAATCCAAGTAAGTAGTGAGCATCAAGAGGGAATTTTTAACTTTTCCCTTTTTTCCTCACACTGCATCAACAACAGGAGTTTTATATTTCTATCTGTTTGCATCAGTCATTGCTGCATTATTCATCTGAATTACAGCGTTAGGTGGTAATTAAATTTTTGCCGGGGATGCTGTTGTATTTAAATGAAATGTGAATATTTTAGTGCTTTTTGTGTGTGTTGGGGGGTGGGGGGTGCTACTTAATTTGCCCCCCCCCCCCCCACAAGCACACCCACTCTTTTTTTAACCCAAGCTTTTCAAATAGTTTATGGTGCTCACTTCTGTTTTTAAACAGCTTTTTCTTAAGAATAATAATGTTGAGTCAGCAGCTGCATTGACAAACGTATTTCAGCTGATGTGTAATGCCCAGACAAGGGATATTTGATGCCTTAAAAAGAGGCACTCACAACTTCTTCTTCTGCACACACTCACATGGAGACACCAAACAGAGCCAAAACCTCAGCAACAAAATGGCCACTGAAGACCTTTGCTCCACAGAGAAGACCTTGAATGATTGTAAGACTTAAGACAAGGATTGAGGCAAAGATAACAAGAATGTTTCTGAAAAACATACTAAACTGTCATTTAGATTTTTGAAGCAAAATCCTGAAAAAAGTGAAAAATATGATGACGCGAAAGCTTCATTAAAATCTGTCAAGACTTATTTTGCTGCCAGTCGTTTACACAGACACAAGTAAAATCATTATTACAGTTATTACAGTTTATCTATGAAGTACTTATTATGCTGTTCCACATGAAAAGCTTCAGAATAAGTTGCACAACTAGTCTTGTTAATTTTTTTTTTACTTATTCTTTCGTGTCAGTGGTTACTTGTTTCCTCTCACTAAAAGGAAACAGTTGTGTTTTAAAACAGAAGTTGCTTAGTCTTAAAATCCTGGTACATCCCTCTCCACTGTGCTTCAACTCTGCCTCTATAATTTCTGCTTATTTTTTAGCTTTTTTGTAAAATTTGTTTCCATTATTTCTTATGAAATTTATAAATGTCTGTTTTTATGTTTTGGGGAGATTTTGTTAGATTATGTATTTTCAAGTTCTCCGAGGTCATATTTCTACATGTACCTTTAAATACTACTAGAATTTTCAAATATGTTCAGTTTATTTTAATATAAGCATAAAAAATAAGAAATTATTCATATCAAATTAACTATTTAGGTTATTGTTAGGTATAAATTACTTGATTGCTCAGAACTCAAACATTTAGAGTAGTTTGAAGTGGGATAAGATGGTGTTGATTGTTATATATAAAACAGACTGCCAATTAATGGGTTAACTTAAAATCATTTATTAATTTTTACTGCGAAGAATCAAACTCATGATTGTTTCTCGGCTGATCTCTTCTGCAGGGGTCACCACAGCGAGCAAACTCGCACACAAAAAATGACAATTGTTTTATGTCAGATTCACTTTCTGATTCAACCAGGGCTCAAACCTGCAGCCTGGGAGTTATGAGATCACTGCACTGACCATCAAGCATCTAACTTCCTGTATACCATAAAAAAGGTAAGAAATAAAAAAGAATCCTACTGACCCAACCTAATGTTGAATATAAAGTAGGGGTCTAAGAAAATATTGACACCAAAATATTGTGATATTTCATTTCTCGATACTCTAAAGCCGTGTATCAGTTTTTAATTAAGGTTTAAAACATTCATGCCAACAGTTCATTTTTGTGTTGTAGTTTAGCCTCCGACTGCTAGTTGGCAGCAGCGAGCCACCTATTTGGCTCCTCCACTACTGAGGAGCCGGAGAGTATAACACTAGCTCAAACATTAGCATCATGAGTAAATGTTAGCACCATATACCGATGGCTGAATCTGAGTGAATTAGACCAACACCCGCTGCCTTCTAAGCTCAGGTTGGGTTGCCACCAGACCCTTATTAGCCGGATTGACTGTGTTTTAAGCCAAATTGAAGTGTCCCGTTCTGGACGCTCTGTCTCCCAACTGCAATCAGCAGTCACAATACAGAAAGAAGGCAGGCATTTACCTACTTGCGCCCCGAACTCAAGGGGGTCCCAGAGGGATGGTACTGAAGTAGCCAAATGCAAATAAAACATTTTTAAATAGAAATTTGGGACAAAAATTGCAATGTATTGTAATACACCACCTTGCTTATAGTCTCGCAATATATTGCAATATATTGCATTGTAATATTTATTCTACCCCCAGATTTTTGCCGATACGCAGACCTAGTATAATTTTTTTTCAACAAGATCCCAGCCATTTTTTATAACGATAGGCGGCAGTTGTTTAATTGCCTCTGTATGTTAGTGTGTTAGTCAACAAATATTATTTCATGAACCAGGAGAAAGATTTTAAAGTAACTCTTAGAAAGCGATCATTTGATGTGCATCTATAGCTGACGACCTTTTGGAGTCAAGTTGGTTTAAAATGGCTGCCACAGCTAACTGAACTTATCTGTTAATTTAACAGATAATGAGCTGAAACTGGGTGTGGCAGTAGCTGAGACTAAACTGTGTTTAAACGAGTTCCTTTCTAAATTACCAGTTAGGGTTTGTAAAAGCCCCAAATCTTTTGACTGCAAGGAAAAATATTCAGTTTTATATAAAAATATATATTTTATATAATAAAATCTAAAACAGAAGAAGCTAATCACAATTATTTAACTTTTATTTAATTTTTTTTTCATTTTTTCATCATTTTTAGGCATCAGATAATTTTATGGAGCGTCGCTATTGAGTACAGCAGTTTGAACTTTGAAAACTTTTGCTTATTGGGATTATTACTTCTATTTGCATGAAGGCTGTGAATCCAAATCCACAACTTAGCCAGACACAGCAAAAAGAAAATCATAAGTGCAGAACCATCACCAGAGTGTAAAGATTTTTGGAAAAGCTTATGGCTGTACAATAATAGACATTTCCTGTTTGGAGGGCTGTTTGAATGACCCCGAGGATGTTTATTTGTGTTTTTCAAAGCTGGTTCTGGTACCAGTCTACAAGTCAGGCTGTCAAAGAAACAATGAAAATATGGGGAAGAGAAAGGGCAATAAACCTTTGTTACATATCTGCAGATAGTGAGGCAAAGAAAAGCAGAACAAAGGTTGGAGAAAGCTGCAGAAAAAATAAGAGGAAGGACAGTGACGGAGAGCGTCAGCGGGTGAGATGACAGAGCAGAGAGTGAGGTTGAGAAGCAGAGGGATGAGCTGTGCCTTTAATGCCCATCTGGCCCGGAGATGTAATAAAATTGACATATTGATTCCTTTGAATTTACGAATGCCTGTTTCATAAACTCCATTTCCAAAGCCGAGGCCTCTTTAGAGCCCTGTCATTTTTCCCCCAAATGGATCAATTATGTGCCCACGTAATCCTGTTACCTGAGGAACCCACGCATACTTCTCCCATTTGCAGCGCTTCACCGGGCGCACAGACTCGCATTATGAGCACATAAACAAACTCCAGGTTTTTTTTTTTTTTTTTTGGTTGGTTTGTTTGTTTGTGTGTGAATGTGTGCACCACCCATTCCTTCAAATATTAGTGATTGTTTTTCCCCCCTGGTGTCGTTGTGTGAGTCTCTTCTGGAGGGCTTTAGGGAGGCTTTACCTCTTGTTTTTGAAGTTGTAGAAATCCCTTTTAACTGCGTAACAAAAACACAATCCTGCCACCTCGACACTGTCACAAACATCACATCTTTCACCAAAGCTACACGAGCATGAATTTAATTTCCATCAGGAAAATTATCCTCTTTCTTTAAAACACACTAGAAGAGACATTTACAAGCTGTGGGATGATTTTCTTTGATAGAGACACCTTCTCTCCGATGCGCCTCAAGGCATAAACAATAAAGAGTTTGCGTGAATACACACGTGAGATTTCCTCATCTGCTCAAAGATAAATACGCTTTTGTGGGTCTGAATAGATGAGAGGAAATCGAGACAAAGGTTGAGGGTTCATTAACCCTGTAAAAAATGAACAAATTCTAATATTTTTAACAAAATGAAGGGCTAACAAATTAAAGGGTTAACAACGCATTGTTTTTGTGAAGCACATCATGCAAAGCAAGAATTTTTTATGGTTGCTACTCAGATTAAATTTTATTTCTCCAAAATCTCAATTGAAAATGCCTTTTTACGCTACTTAAAACTTGATTAAGCCCTACAGGGATTTCCTTAATGTGCACTCAAAAGTCCATAAAACAGCCAGAAACAGAGCTAGAATTTGTCTCGGCTGTACAGAAACAACCTAAAAGAAGTGCTGACCTGTTCTTCCGTACATCCTGGGTGAATAGTCGGACTGGTAACATAAAAGGCAGCTACAAGTGGTTACAGGTCAAACTGTAAATGTTGGAGCGATGCAGCAGGCTGTCGAGTGGAACGGAAATGTATGAAGAGCGACAGATACGCTGCTGCACGGGAGCTCGCTGGATATCTATGTTACTATCTCACATTGTTGTAAAACCAACCAGGAGAGTGTGAGGGAGGGGAGGGGAGTCAGCCCTCGATCTTATTTTCCACACTCCGGCAAGCTACAAGCGGCTCAGTTACACTACACTTGCACTGAACAATCAGCCTGGCAAAGGTTCACAAAACGACGAAATACCTTGTCACTTACTGCCTGACCTGTTCAGCAGAGTGACTCGGAGAGGGGAGAAAGGAAGGGAGGGTGGGGGGGGGGGGGGTTAAGGGAGAAGAGGGATAAGAGGGAAAAAAGGCATAAAATAATCATGAAGGAGCTCTGCGATGTGCATGAAAGAGTTTGGACAAATTCCATCACATTCTTCTCGTCTTTTGCAAAAACAAAACAAAACATATTGGTAGGGCATTAGTTCAAAGTTTCCCTTCTTGTTTCAGCAGAAGTTGTTCAAATATTCTTAACTTGGATCTTTGGAGACTTTGAGATTCTCGTTGTAGGGAGGAAAAAAATGGTTGCGAGGTTAAAGTGGTGTGTTTAAAAGCACCAGAGATGCAAAAGCTGGGGTTCAGAGATGTGTGAAGGATGTTTGTCACCTTGCAGCTGTAGAAGGTTCCAGGGGCTTTGAGGCGATTGTTAAAAAGTGAAGAGGAGGTGGGTTATAGCGGGCTGACAGCCGGCTGAGTTGTGCTCACTGGACTTAATCTAAAACAAAAAGGCCCCAGTTATGATGAAAGGTCGACAGAGTATGTCTCAGCAAATTGGCTTTTTCTTTTTTTCCCTTTTTAACCTTGTGCTGGTTGATGCTTCTGCTCCACTGTTGCAGAAGCCTAATGATCTACGGCCTGCTAGCTCGCCCTCTCCCCCTCCCACCTGTCCGGCCCCTCTCTTGTCTCGAATATCTGGGGAAGCTTCAGCTGCTCATGCCCGCTTTCAGTTCTGGTGAAAAATCAGTGCTTGTCAGCTTATTCAGTTAATAGTTGAGGCATTTAAACACACATAATTCAAGAAGAACCAATAAAGTACACACACACACATGGAGTTCAGAGAAAGACTGCGGCTGAGTTCTGAACATGATGGAACATTTCAGCTCGGTCTCGTTCCAGGCTTTACATTTCTCTGCGGCCGACCATAATGATGGACAGTGAAAGGTAATTATAGGAGGGGGAGTGGATGCGAGAGGATCAGAAGTTTCTGGAAACTCTGAATGGGACGAAGGACGGCGGCTAACATCCTGAGTGACGAATTCCTCTCTGATAGGAAAAACAAAACACTGAAAATCCTTGAATCAATCAGAACTATAAGTACTGCAAGGCCCTTTGATTCAACACAAACTGACACTTCTGGGTGAATTTCCTGACTGTTTTTTTTTTTTGTGCCTTTTAGAAACTAATGTTTCTGTTTCATGCCCTTACAGGATTTAGTCTTGGGTGTTTGTGTTAGTTTGCATCACTTTTTAATGCTAACTACGAACAAATACAAAACAGCTTCAATATTTTGCAAACAGCTTCACCTGCACGCTGTGGGACCAGGATGGTGAGGGGAGGTGGGGTACCCGGCGTTGCAATCTCTTGTGTTGCACAGGCTCCCCTTTTATAAATTACCTCATCAGTGAGTGAAATTAACACCGATTCTTGCAGGCAATTTCTCAATTTCCAATGCTAATTAGCTTTCTCTCTTTACTTTTAAATTCTGTAGCACCTGTTTAGTGGGAAGACATCTTAGGCAGTGCAGGCGCATTTAATCACAATTTTAATTAACCATCCCCGTAGATGTGAAAGAGAAGCAATTATAATGCAGATGAATGATGATTTTTCCACATTAAATTGTTTTGTTTCTTCGTTATGTTGATTGCATAAATACTGGCGCCATTCAGTTTTTATCTACTGTAATTTTGTAATTGTTTTGCAGGAAAAAAAGGGGAAACCAGCAGCAGAAAGGGTTTGGATGAACAGACAAATTGTTTTATTTAGTTAACTAGTTAATCGCCAGAGAAGCAGGCAGTGGATTTGGCAGGAAGTGATTTTCCTCCGCTACAGAAAAATAAAAATAAACAGTCAGAAACTTTGTCAGTCATCAAGACGCTTGCTATTGGGAGGGCGGATTACACCCTTGCATCTCTCATTTGACCTTAACAAACTATTAAACCAAATGAAAGTCATCTACTATCTTTACTCAGCCTCCACTTTAACTACAGAGCATATAGTTGCAAATGAAAGCACAGATGGGTGCTACCGGAATGGACTCATAATCTTTATGCGCTCGTGAAAATATCATTGCGTTCAATGAAGGCGCTTTTGACTGTGTTTATAGCTCCTTGTTCTCTGAAACTTTGCTTTTACTTTAATGTCAGAGTCGTAAACAAAACAAGAACAGAGAGGTGGATTTCCATAAGCGTTGCCCCATTATTTTACGCTAAGTAAAAAAAGTTAACACCTTTGCTCTTAATCTTCAATGAAGTTTGAAAACTTGACTTGCTTGGGTTGTGTTTTTGCAAAAAAAAAAATACTGTAAAATAACCAGTGTTGTTGTTTTCTCTCTCTCTCTCTCTGAGGACAAGGCAGAAAAACAACTCTCAGAATACCCTTGCGCTCTATCTC